TACACCAAGTGCATAATCTTTTGTAAAAGACACCAAGTGCACAAACTTTTAATCTTTAAGCTTGTTCAATTTTTTTATTTTTAATGTTAATCTTCATATTCACCTTTTTATAGTTCATTTTTGTGAAATTGCCCTTCATTATTTTCAAAATTGTTATGGTAGTGCAGACTTCCACTGCATAGTGGGCATTTTCCAACAGTTCGAATGATTAGCTGTAGAGCAGCATTGTTAATAATGATAATTTGTCCTTCATCATCAAAACTATCACTATCTCTCTTAAAATAATCAAGAGGTTCCAACTTTTTGGCAGCAGAATGAGATTCGCCATTTAGGTTCTGTGCATCATTGGGCCTGGGCTCAACTTCCTGTTTACTTAGTGACGAAGTAAATCTGTTTCCATAGAACTTTCTTTTTCTTTTCCTTTCATTGTTTCTTGGCATTCCAGTTATTTGTAGAAAGTAGCTGGTTCAACTCACAAGTTCATGAAGTACTGAATCCACGAAGATGAATTCAAGCGCCAACAGGAATTTGCGAAGGTGTAAAGGGAGCAAACCGTTACTAAATGAAATCCGTCTTCAAAAGCATGAGTAGAGATTGAAAGGAGAATTTTGGGCGCAAGGGCAGTCATGCTGCCCTTGCTGATTGAACCCATAGCTTCAATCAGGGACTTTTCCAACAAACCTAAAGAAGGCGAGGGTTACCCCCATATACAAATCCGATGCCAAAAATATATTCGACAATTGCAGACCAACAAGTGTTCTGCCAGTGATTTCCAAAGTCTTCAAAAAGTGCGTACATGCCCAAATTACGAACCACCTAGAAAGCAACAAATTGCTGTCGGAAAACAAAATTGGATTTCGCAAATAACTATCAACTGAAATTGCTACAGCTTACTTCACTGATCAAATCCGAAAGGCAATGGACAACGGCAATTACACAGGTGCAGTTTACATAGACCTAAGTAAAGCTTTTGATACCATCATCCATTCTATCCTGGTTGACACTCTACTTGAATATGGCATCTCAGGGATGGCTCAGAAATGGTTGTGCAATTACCTGTTCTCAAGATCACAACAGGTCTCGTTGCAAGGTAAACTATCATCTGCGGAACCAATTTACTGTGGCGTCCCTCAAGGGTCAATACTCGGACCACTCCTGTTTATCTTGTATTTCAACAGTGCAATCAAAACACTATCACGATGCAAAATGCTGATGTATGCCGATGATACAGTCTTGTTTTGTTTTAGAAAAGATGTAGGTGAAATTCAAAAACAGTTAAATGCAGACTTTCAATCATTTGCCGGCTGGCTTGACAAAAACGAGCTTGTCATAAACACCAAGAAAGGCAATACAGAGGTTATGATGTTTGGTACTAGCCAAAAACTAAAAAAACTTGAGGCGACACCTATCCAAATTATGCACAGGGACAAAGAAATACATAACACCAAGACCTACAAATATCTAGGTCTCAATCTAACATGCAATCTCAACATGTCTTATCACTTAAATGAATCTATTAAAAAGGCTAGACTACACCTACTGAAAAAAATGCGAGCCTTCATGGACAGAAAAACCAATACTCTTATCTACCAAACAATGATAACTCCTTTTCTGACGTACTGTTCATTCTTGCTATATGTTGTCAATATTTAAAACAAAAGATAGAACGGATAGAAAGCTACGCAGAAAAAATCATCGGCCAACAAGTTCCGAGAAATGAAATAATCACAATGAAACGAATATGTGCATAAATGTCTCCACTCTAATAACGTAGGCGCTATCTTTGACAGCTATTTTACAATGAAAAACTCCAATGTAAAAACCAGATCCCGAAGATTGATCTGGAAATAACAAGAGCATCATTCTACTACCAAGGTGCCACAATATTCAACTAACTTCCAAAAGAAATTCTAACAGAGAGTGATTCTATTTCCTTCAAAAATAAATTGAATAGCTGTTATACCTTAACGTAAAATCTCAACATTATAACTCTCTTATATACTACTCAACTTCATTCCCCTTGTATGGACTTATTTTTTGCTTTCAAATTATATTTTATAAATGTAGATTGTAAACTAATTTTTCAATAATATTTTGTTTATTGTTTTTATTTTAACAGAACTACTGGGAAAACAGTGTAAATATGTATATATGCATATCACTACTGAAGTATTTTCCTGTATAAATATTCGATAATAATAATAATAATAATAATAATAATAATAATAATAATAGCTGCGAAAACTGCTTAGGATATCAAACGATGACCATTGTAACAAATTCAATCCAAAATGGCTACCACATAGCTAGTATGGGATCTAACCTTGAAACAAGCCTCGTTTTAAGGTTAGCTAACAGACAATATTCAGAACGAAATAGGGTGCTTTGGGTTTATGATTTTCCCTAACAACCGTTTGCTATAACATTGCTAAGGAGCCAATAATATACATGATTGTAAGAAATACATTTTCAATAAAGTTTAGTGCAAAATTAAATGAAGTAGATATCAGATTTCGTATCTCCACACTTTGTTTAATGAAAAGAAATAAAAAAAATTGTCAAATTGTTTTTTGAAATAGGGGTCTAACACCTTGAGAGGAAAATGGAGAGATTTCAGGTAAGTTGAAAGTAACTGAACGGGTGTCATCGGAAGAAGCAAGTCCACATTCCGATTCATCAAGTGATGGTGACATGCCTCAAAGTAATGAGGAAAACCAGGAAGATGACGAAAGTGTTTTGGCTACAGCTACCATAGCAAGACTAACAACCAAGTTGTCTCAGCTGGAGGAAGAACTAAGGGAAAGGAGTGCAGAGGTATTGAGAGAAGAAAATGAGAAACTTAAAAAAGGGAGATTCGGTTTTTAAAAGCTAATGAAATCAAATAAAGATGTAAATTATTTTTACTGAGCTTTCAACTGTAGCTATAATCTTATGAGTTGTTTCTTTGGCAAGAAGCAATTTGAAATTTGCAGTTCTGTCCTGTCTGAAGAGGACCATGTTCTAGTTGTGCTGATGAAGCTGAAGCTTGGCCTCGTGAATAAAGACATTGCTTACAGATTTGGTTGCACAAACACCATGATCTCAAAAATGTTTCAAAACTGGTTTCCAGGACTCTCTTCATCCCCCAAGAACTTAATTGTGTGGCCTAGCAAAATAGAAATCAAGGAAAATCTTTCCCAGTTCTTCAGGGGAAATATAGACACGGTATCTGCATTATTGATTGCAGGGAGATATTTATTGAAAGACCAAAGAATCTAGCAGCAAGGGCTCATACTTTGTCAAATTATAAGCATAATAATACAATTAAATGTCATTGGAATCAGTCCTGCAGGTGCAGTCACATTTTTGTCTGAAGGCTGGGGGGTGGGGGGCAGAGTTTCTGACAAGCAGATTACAGTTGATTCAGATTTCCTAAATAAGCTACACCCTGGTGATTATGATCTGGCAGATGGAGGGTTTCTTATTGAAGATGAATAGGCAAAACATGGAGCATATTTAAAGATCCCAAAATTTACACGTGGAAAGACACAAAGGATGTAGCAAATGATATAGATGAATCCAGGCAACTATCAAACGTCAGAATTCATGTGGAGAGGGTCATTGGGCAATTGAAAAAAATTCAAAATTTTACAACACACTTCACAAAATCATGCTGTGCTGTATGGATATATGACACCAAAATACAGGACGAAAATTAAAAATATTACATGAATAAAAGGTTTATGATCTTTTGATCATTTAAGAGCCAAAATTTATGATCTCTACCGTAACAACTTTCCTTTGAACGCTTTTTCATCTCTACACAAGAATAGTGATACCATCTAATTTTATAATTTTGTTTTCACGGAAGATCATTTTCCCCAAACTTTAGTTTCCTACATGTACAATACAAGGAACGATTTGTTGGTGTTCCAAGCTCTGTCTTCCTGGACACAATTCCAGGAAGGATAGATGTTAAAAATTTGCTTCAAAGAGTCTCCTTTGGTTTAGTTGTAAAGTCATTGTTTTTTCCTACATCATCTTTCAAATCATCCTTCTTTTTTATTGCCAGCAAAAATGTAAAAATATCCAAGCTCTGCTCCAGACAGTTCCATTTGTAGCTGAACTTGGTGGTAGTAAGGGTGGTTCTTTTTCACGATAAAGCCAGGACCAAGGCTTGAAAGTGGAAAGTTCTTATTATGCTGCCAACCATCAAAACCATCTTTGTAATTAAAGGGACATTTTATTTTGAGCACCCCTTTTCACTGGCAGCTGCATGTAACAATACCATCTGGAGAAGCTCCAAGATATGGTTCATCAGCATTAACATCCAGACATGATAAAATAACACTAAAATTGGTGTGCTTGTCCTCCTCAGTTTTGATAAAGCTGCTTCTTGCGAAGGGTTCCATGGTCTTTCCGAAATCTGTAAATTTTGATGTAAAACCATCGTTGTACTGCATTATATTGGAAATCAAAGATTTACTGTCTTTCATGCGAGAAAATTTGTAGCATATTGATGCTGTGATCCCTCCTGCACTGTGCATCATCCAAGCTGGATTTAAAGATTGCTTCTCTGTCAATTTTTCTAAGGTTATCAAAAGCCCTTTGAAAGTTATTTTCCGGATATAAATTAAATTGTTTCCTGGCATGCTGATCCAAAGTAAAATCATCCATGTTGACAGCAGTAGGTTCAAAAAGAGAAGTCTCAGGGATAACACTTGGGTCATTCTCAATATCAGGATCAGTGTTAGTTCCATCCTTTTCTTGAGCAGCTGTGTTCTCTCTTTTGTTTTCTTCAACAGTTGTAAACTCATGTATGGGCAAACTTGTAAAAACAGAAATGCCCTCCTACTGCTCTTGAATAAGCTTTACTACAAAATGTAGCTGACCGTGTTTGCACTGTAAACAACTTCTAAAGCTTCTTGTAATCCTGAACTTTCCATCAACTATTTGATAAAACCAAGGAAGCTCATTTGCACATGAAATGCACCCAGTCGAAGAATCATGTGGTTCCATCAGAAGTTCCATCAGAATGCAAAGTCCTGTTTTATGTGCTCCAGTTTTCTTTCAATTCATCAAAAACATGAAGCTGTGCCAGTGCCCTTGCCCCATGAGCATATACTTAGAAAATGTGGACTTGTGAGATTATGGACATTGACTCCAACAACTTACAAACATTTCCTAATAGCATCTTCAACATTTTTCGTGCTAACACCTAAACAAAGCAGATCTCTGTACAGCATACGAATCTCATCAACATATTTCCATTTTCAAATAAACAAATATCTTCACCTTTCAAAAAAAAAAACATTTAATCTTTCTCAATTTCCAACTTCTCATTCTCTAATTCAGTTATTCTTCCTTTCAAATCATCAATTTTGAATTAAATATATTGGTGCTATTTTCAACAGATTTATGTCTTAATTCTGTTTTGTACACAATTTTTCATGGAAGGCTTTGTCTAGTTTTCTATCTCCTGGTTTTTCTCTGCTAGCTCTCCATTTCTCTCAAGTAACTCTGAGGATAAATCTACAATCACCTCTTCTTTCTCCTCTTCTAATTTATTCTACTTCTGGCAAATTCTTGTTATCTTTCGATTAACATTTTTTGCATTTAATGCACCAATTTTCCCAACAAGATCTTTAAACTCCTCCTCCCTAGCCTTCAAATCCTTCCTAGCCTTGACAGCATCATTGAAATCCATCTTAAATTTCACAGCATTGCCTTCTGCAAGTATTCTTCCATCTTTCTCCTTGTTAAATCTATCAATCAACAAACCTATTCACTTTCATCTGACCTGTCTAACAAAATTGTAATCATATTTGTTTTCTCTTTAACATCAATGTGCTGAGAATCTGATACATCTGAAACTAACTCATGCTTTCTTTTCTCATATCTATTAGCTGGTTTAATAAAAAAAATCATTAAGAAAAATTTCTACATCCGGCATTTGCTTGTGCTTTCTTAGGTCAGTAACTCTTTCCTTCATATTTAAAACTGCTGTGGGAAGACTTTCCTAAAGAATTATTTCATTGTCAAATTATCACAACAAAATAAAGAAGCCCAGTCTTTAAAGTTCATCCAAGAGGCATTCAGTTTAACCTTGGCGTCAAGTAACAAAAAAATTTCCTGGTTGGGTATTGGAGATTTTTTTAAATCATTAGGCAAAGCAACATTTCCCTTGCAAAAAGAGTCTAAAAATTTCAAGCTGATCCCCCTGCTTTTCAAAATATAGCAATCAGAGGTTTTGCCTGCATCTGCAATTTTAGAAAGGGTCTCATATATTTTGGAAAAATTATTCCTATCTTTCGCAAGAGATCTGAAAATAGACCTTTTAAGATTGCTTGGTTTCTTTATTACCTTTTCAACCTTCTCAACATTTACATTAAAAAGGGTAGAGCAGACTTCAAGAATGTCTGACTGCGGCCTACCGAAGGATTCCAAAGACAAGAAAATTTGGCTCAGTAAACCATAGCTTATTCCAGACTTCATCAGATTGCATCTAGAGGGGACTTTCCCTTCGCTTATAAATAAATTCAGCTATTCATTGGTCATGCATATCAGCTGATAGTCAGCCATCTTGCTGTTTGCCATTAGGAATTTTTTTGATCCTGCAAAAAGAGAGGCGTGGGTCAGGATTGTGTGGCGTAACTTGAGCCTAAAAAAGCTTTGTACGAAAATTGAAATTTGACAAATGAGCACGGTATCAAGGCAAGATAAAAGTTCAATAATCAACAGAAATAGGATAAGGTTTAACTGGTTACCTACTTTTTCCGTAAATCAACTTTATCAACGAATTATGAAATGACATCTGAAATTTGTCAAATTGCATATTGCTTGAATGCCAAATTCAGGATTTTGCATTTGCCGGATTTTTGAAATGCAATTCATAAATTCCAGATTTCGATAACTGATTTTTGTCATAGATATCATCCTATATATTAGTGGGGCGTGTTTTTCAATAACTAATGAGAGTAGATATGACCACTTGTTGACTGCCTCATTAAAGCTTTACTTGAAACGACGATACTGTCCCAATCAGTCTGACCTAGATCTGACAGGATATTGTCACTGTTGAGACTTTTCATTTTTCTAGTGGATATGGTTTTATGCTGACGTTTTGTTAAGCCCATAAATTTTCTAGTTAAATAAACAAGATAGTGATCGCTTAAAGTAGTACTGAAGACGGCAGATGCAATCACGTTTCAGGCTTGTTGTGGCCTTAAGGGTGATAAGTGTGATGAAGTTAGCATCACTCTTGTAGGCTCACCCATCATTTGCATAAGACTGAACAAATCATAGATCTCAGCGAAAGGTGCAGTATTATTGAGCGCGCTACCATATTCATCAGCTACCTTCGACAAGAAGTCACAGTTGGTATCACCCATGATAATCATTTCTTTGTTTTCCCAATCGAAATATTCTAAGTTTCCTTCCAATTTTTGAAAGACTCAATAAGGCCAAATGGAGGTTGGTACCAGGCGAATATAAGAAAGGGCCTGGCTCTTATAGGTTCAAATTTCTATGCAAACCAATTCGAGAGACTTATTGGGTATGACCTTTCGTCTATTGTGTTTTAACAAATTGCTCACATACACAGCAACTCCACCCCCACTCCTGTTTCTGTTCTCTCTGTGTAGTGTAGCCCTCAATCACGAGCAAGTTATCAGTGATTTCATTGTCAAGCTTAGTTCGCTCACTGCTAGGATGTGGATTCCTTTATCATTAACTAAGCACTTTATTTTATCTAGATGTAATTGTAAACTATTAACATTTAAAGAAGCAAGCACTATTCATTTGTTGCAACCAAGACGCTGCACCTCAACAAGGATTATCCTAGTATCTTTAGGTGAGGAGCTCCTTGAGTCATCTTCTTGTTTTTGTCAATGTTTAAAAGATCTAAGTTTCTCTATAATATTTAATGTCAGCTGCTTGTTACTGTTAGATCTTCTGCTATGGCAATTATAGACTTTGTTGCAGAAACAAAGCCAAGGATGAAGGACGGTTTTCAGCAAGTATCTTGTTGTCGCTTGCTTTTAGTGACAAAAGTTACTCACAGACCTTCCTGACCTGATTCTGCACAGCGCCGAGGTTTGATTTACTGATGGGGGACTTACACCCTTTCATCATTGGATGCCTGGAGTTCAGCAAATCAAATAGCCTATCAATGTTTCTTATGAACTGGACTGTAGCACCACAGTTTTTGAAATCCTCAGCCATCATATCATCCTTCAAAAACTCTGATGCATCTGCTACTGAAGAACGTAATGTTTGGGCTGCCAACTTGACTCTCTTTTCATTCTTTTGCCAGTTAGTACGCACTGTTGTGAGCTTTTTTGCAATTGAAAATCCCTGGTCATCTTGTAGCTTGCACAATTTTTCAATATATGCCCAAGAGATTGTTTCCCCCCTGAGCATTGTAGAGGTTTCCCATATCCCCAAGAGCATTTCTAGCCAGCTTTATCATGTGACATGCATCCAGTGTGACATACACAAAATAATCTCTTGTGGGGTGTTTAAACCTGACTACCATTTCATCATACTTTGTGGAAAACTTGTACCCAAGGCCTTTTAAAGAAGCAGAATTGGTATAAGTGCCATCACATGTAATTGACCATATTCTTAGTTCATGATCAGCAGCTAGAGACAAGCAAGTTTTTATCATTGAAACCTGTGTTTCTGCATTGCATTTATATATAAAAAGTAGCCAACAGGGCATTTCCAATGATTCTTATTGCCAGTCAGCATAAAAACCAATGCTCCAGATGCTGGCAATTCTGTATTTCCATGGTCCCCCACCTTTTCGCAGAGTAAATAGTTTCAAAGCTGCAGTGAAGGAGGAAAAAGCCTTGGCCCCTTACTTTTGCTAGCCTTAGCCCCTTTTTCAAATTTGTGGCATAGGCCCTGCTAACCCCTTCAAATCAATTCATTGTTTTCGAGAAAAGGATTGCAATAGTTTAATTTATTTTTCAGAAATGATTTTATTTTGTTTTATTAACATGGGTAAAGAAAATGCAATAAGAGATTTGTAACCTAATAATTACCTTTATATATCATCTTGTAGTAGCCTCACTTTCATGTAACACGCTTCCTGATCTTAGGGAGACGCTGGATTCTGCCATGTTGTTGTTTTAGTTAGTACACTCACCCACACAGCTTTTTTCATCTCTCCTGTCTACCTACTTTATCAGATATTTTACAAAGGAGACTGGAAAAATCTAGACTGTACCTGCGATGGGTTATTGCCAATTAGAAATGCTGTCTCACTTAACTATTCAAGAGATGCTGGTCAGGTTGGGGAAAACTATAAAAATCACTTTAACTCAGAAGCAGGCACTGTTGATTGGCAGAGAGACAGAATAACTACAATGCCTGCCAAAAGTCTTGGAACACTGACATCAATTTCCAAGGTTAAAACCAATCCTCCCCCTCTCCCCCACGGAACAATGTTGGTTTACTATCAAACGGATTAGGATTTTAGGAAGCACTTTCTTTTGCGCTTCTTTTATGATATTTCTCTAAATCATCAACATTGTTTGAGGGGGAAGGGGGCGGAAGTAGCAAATTTTTTTCATGAAAGGAATGAAAGATATCAAATGCAGCGTAAATTGGTGGGTGTTCCAAGTACTTTTGGCAGGCATTGTAGAACAGCAGATCCATTTGACATTTTATTAATGCTATTTCTTTTAATACAACGATTGTAAAATTTATTTTAAAATAATAGTGTTTCTAAATTAAATTACTGTACAATTGCGAATTAGAACTCATCATCGTCAAATTCGTACTTAAGCAACAATTGCTGAATTTCTATTTTGGTTTGTCTGATTTTCTTGGAGGGAGGTTCCTTAAAATTGGAACAATACTGTTTGCGAAACTCTGGTCAGCTTCAACTTCAACTCTATTTTCTCATTTTAGTGCTTTAAACAGAAGTTTATCTGGATGCTCATCATCTGAAATTAATAATTTTCTTTGAGGTAGTGTTGTGGCTTTCCTTTTTCGTTTCTCTGGTTTAAAGCTCATCGATTCCAGGCTTGATGCAAGACTTGGGGCCAAAAGGACAGGACTAACAGGCCTAGCCTTCTCCCAGAATTTCTTGCGTAGGGGCACTTTCCTGAGGCAAGTCGCTGATTGTAGGCCGATTTGATACTCTAAGAAATTGTAACTGGTGAAAAAGCTTACATTCAGGCAGTGAGCTTGCGGCAGCACCAGATCATGTCATCAAGTCTCTCTTTTTAAACATTTGGAAAGGTTTTGTTTGAAGTTTTTCCAAATCTTCAACTAGAAAGAAAAAACAGGGTAAGTATATGCATTTTTACTTTCAGACCATATATGCCAACTTATAAAGATTTTCAAAACCTATCAGACCCTGGAGTCTCATAATAGCTTATTTGTCTAAAGATCATTTGTATTTTCTTGTAAGTTTTTCCCAATTAAGCAAAAAACAGAATGTTAATGAAAAACGAATCCAGAATGAATCTATTTTTTGTGCTCTTATGACTTCAAAACGATTCAAGGGCGAGGGGGCTTAAACTGAAAGTTAACACTCACCATTCCTCCCATACTTTTCCGCAATTTCCTCCCAAGCTTTCTGTTTCATCTGGGTATCTTTGAAACCCCTGCAGCTAGTGTCCCATGTGCATTTGTACGACCATACATCTTCAACAAACATTTCATCAAAACTTCTGTCAGCATCTTCACTGTCTTCAGTAACCTTAGCTAACAGCTGAATTTTCATCATCGACCAATGTCAAGGCCTCTGTTTCGGCAGAAGCTGCCCCTGTTCGCCAGTTAATACCCTGCTTTGATTTAGCATGTTGGTAAGGAATGCCATTAGATCTTCGCTAGAATAATAAACGTTGGAAGCCATACTAGAAAATTTTGTTGTTTACAAATAAGATCATACGGCGGTAGCACCATTTTTCTAGTTGCTCTCAATTGTTTGGATTGATTCATTCTGACATTTAAGCCTGGTTTCCATATCATCATTATGGATCGCTGAGGATCTCAGAAAAAACAACTGTGATTCTCTAAAGAGAAAAGACGATGGATTTTTGTTTGATGATGATGAAAATGGGGAGGATATTATGAAGCAAGACAAGAAAGCTGGCAAGAAAATAATGAAGAAGTATTGGGCCAATTCTTAAGGCAAGGTTCAAATGACTAAAGAGAAAAGACGATGGATTTTTGTTTGATGATGATGAAAATGAGGAGGATATTATGAAGCAAGACAAGAAAGCTGGCAAGAAAATAATGAAGAAGTATTGGGCCAATTCTAAAGGCAAGGTTCAAATGACTGACATGAACAATACACTGATAAATACAGCAAAGTCTCTTTCAGAGTAGTAACAGAGGAGAACAACTAGAAATTCAAAATATATGCCTGAGGATGATGGTGAAGAGAGCCTATTTTGCAGGAGCCTCATTCCCAGAAGATTTTAAGATTAAAATTGGATTTTAGAGGGGAAACAACTATCTGTCACACTGCACTGCTGTATTTTGTGACACTAAATACAGGTGAGTTTGGCAGGTAGAAATTCAAAAATTCGTAGTAAACAAATTATAAGAAGGGTTTTACAAAAATATCAAATGAAAAATTACCCTAGAAAGAGAAAACCATTTGTTTCATTAAAAAGCAGGAAGGCACGTATCTGCTGATCTCAAGCTCTCTGAGACTTGAGTGTGATGGAATGGGAGGATATTGTTTTCTCCCATGAATGCAAATTTGGACTTGAACATGATTGTAAAATGTTAAGAGTCTGAGGTACAATAGAAGAGGCGCACAACCCAAAGTGCATTCGACAATGCAATCTCTGTAATGTTCTGGGGATGCCGAGGCCTAAGGGTGTTGAGAAACTTGTCATTTGTGACCAACGACTTGACTCTGAAAATATGTCTCCTTGCTTCAAGCAAAGATAATAGAAGTGTGACTGGATAGGAAACTCTGCTAGAACAATGAATCATGTTATGGTTCATTGATATTCTTGTTGGGGAGACGAGGTTAGAGTAAGTCCGTAAGGTATAGGTGGCCCCCCGTGAAAGGGGTAGGTGCACATGCGTACTTTGCATTTCACAACAGATAGGCAAAGGAGGGAACTTATGCAAAAAATAAACAACATAGTCCAGCATTGTTCTAGCAGGTTTAATGCGCGTGCGTACCTACTCCTCGTAGCTAATTGGTTCTGACAAACCACTTACGCTTTTGTTCTAAACAATGGAGCCGCGATCTCGTCTCCCCAACAAATTCAGTGAAAGACAAGAGTGATACATTTGCCTAGGCATAACTGACAAAATAATCAATGAACATGCCTAAAGGCAAGGTGGCCAAAAAAATTCTGAGCAGCTTATCTTTGTCAAAACCAAGGTTAGTGGCAAAATATTTGATAAAGTATACAGCAAACATTGCAACACGCTGGTCAAGTCTTCTGAATCTTGCACTGAATTCAGAAAAATAGCCTTAAAGATACAAAGACAATTGGATTTTGAAAAACGATCTGTTAGAAAACCCAAAAACCTTAAGTCTTCATTAACAAGGGTTGTTAAAAAGCGACTAGTTGTGGCAGTTCAGATTTTACCTCAAAAAGTAAAAAAACACCACACAGTATTGATTTCAATTTTAACATACTTGTGCTCCTGCACATTAAAAGCCATGCATATTCGACCCTTAAAAAACAAAAACTTGTTTGGAATCATGACCAAGAGATGCTCAAGGAAAGAAAATTATTTTTATTTTTACCCTCCCCCAGTCATTACTTTGGCAGAGATTCTTCAAACAAACTGCAAAAAAAGAGCTATTTTGTTTGTTGGAATTTTTATTCAATATATATGAAATACAACATTGCATAGTAAATTACACATAGTATAACAGCTTTTCAAAAACTTGATAATTAACCAATTTATAATGAAACTTCATTATAACCAATTTATGTATATGTATTATGTGCTTTGCAATGGCAATGGTTAATGTTTTGTTTATGCTGTTTTGTGAATGATATCACAAAAAAATCACTGCTTCTTTTGTTTATTTGTGATTCAAAGTTGTTTTCGTAATGCCTTTTCTTTCTTGTCAATCTTTTTGCTCAACCTGTGCTCTTCAATCATATGTTTGGCATATGAATTAGCCCTGATTTCTATATACATTAGGATGCAGTCCTTCAGTGTTGCCTCCTTTACAGGTTCTGAGGCCAAACAATTTTGGCATATTCTACTCAAATTATTCAAAATTGCATCTTGTAGACAGTTACCCTGAATTTCTTGCACATTTATCCTTGTTTTCTGGGTGGAGATGTGGTCTCGGAAAACAATCTCTGTTTTTTCTAGTATCTTTGCAAAAGATTCCTTTGTATATGTTAAACCTCCCCTAGGTAAGTCTGATTGAGCCTTCTTTCTTCGCTTTTAAGACTTCCAATCGTTCTTTTAACAAAACAGATGCGGTTTTATTTTCCTCAATGTTACGCATGTTGATGATCCACAAATATATGTCACTACCTCTCTTTCATTTCCAGATAAATTTTGTTTCACTAACACCTTGTCTTCGGTTATTGCATAGTCTAAATTTGGAGAAGGTGCATCCACAAGGCGTTTGATTGTGGCACTATATAATTGTCAGACATTGCCTTCAATTCCTCTTTATAAACTAAACTGAAGTTGATATTTGGAAGATGACCTGCATTTGGTTTGGGGGTTGTCTGTCTTTTTCCTTTCCTTTTCATTCGACATTTTCCAAGAATCAATTGCGTGTTTTTGTCACTGCAAAATGCCACAGTCACTTGCTGTAATCAAAGCAAATAATCATAGTGTCTACTAATGTAAAATTAACTAGATGATACAAGAGACAAGTGCAAGAGACAGGTTCAAGACAATTTTTGTAGCCTTTCCTATTGATGTCTTCCAGTGCAGAAAGAACTCCTCCAACATGATTACAATTGCCAAGGCCAGATATACCAGCACCAGCAGGGCATTAGCAGACAGCACAGTAAACATTGCCAGAATCATCAAGAACGACCAGCACTTTGTATAAAGTAGACTTCATTAATGCCTTCATACGCATATCAAAGAGAGGAAAATTGGAATCCTTTGCCACATAAATTATCTTGAAATATCCTTCACAAAAGAACTGGAAAGATTTGAGCTTTTTGTATCTGGTACTCTTTAACATTATGTGCTTGGATTTCCTGGTGCGGAGATAATCGTACAGCTGAATGAAACTGAACGTTTCAAGATGGAAGATTCCATTTTGCAAGATAGAAGACATCAAACTTGTGGGTCTTATGGGCATGCTTTTCTCACATATATTTCTTAATTCCACTGTACCTGTCTGTGATAAGTGTATACCAATCTACATTTTGTTCAAGAATATTTTCAAATTCTCGTTTTAGACCAGTAAGCTCCATTCTATTTGATCCCCCAACTTCATTGCTCTAGAAAATATTGGTCGTTGGTTGATCTGTTGTTATCATGACACAGTATGGATTTAAACATATATATTATATTTAGATGAAACTCTAGACTATCTCAAAAACTATAAAATCTTGATGGAAACACATCATTGCATGTATTATTTGAAATATTCAAGTGAATGACAGCTGATAAGTGTTATTTGTAAAAAATGCCATTATTTCATTCAATACTATTTGGTGTCACGACACTGTTAAAAGCTCATCTGTAAAGTCTGGACTGATATCATCTTTTTAGTATCCAGATCCATTACAGAATAGCTCCCATATTTGGCTGTGTACCCAGGGGAATCCTTTCTGGCATCACCACCAATTGTTTTTTATCTCCTTCCGATACTTGTCAATGATGTTTTTTGTAAAAGAGACCACTCAACATTTACAGATGGTATCAAATGCAGTGTCTGGATTCTGTTATATGTGCGTTCTGAGATACATGTTGACCACATGATCCTAAAGAACAACAATGTCTTTGCTGGCTGGCATCCAGAAAACAGGGTACTGGCAGATATTACAAAATTGCCCATTGGCAAATAACCAAGCTTTGGTTGGCTGTACCAGATCCTCTCATGTCCTTGAACGCAGATTGTTTTTATTTGGGCAAGTGAGCCTACAAGTTTCTCTGATTTCTCCAGGAAAGGGCTAAAGCACACTGTACATAATGTGAATAACTGTAGGAGACAAGATTCAAAGACAAAATATTTTCTTTCTTTGAACTGATGCTGTGCGTTACAATTGTCTGAGGATCCACTGGACACAGACTACCCATCTGATTCAGAGGGCCCCCAAGCAGATGAAACATGGCTGTCTGAAGCGTCACTCCTGTCATCCAATATGTCATCTTGGGCAGCATAGAATTGCATTTTCTCGATGTCTGCAAATGTCAGGTCGGTCTGGGTCTGTTTTTCAGTGCATGATGGTGGAAGATGGCAACTCACATCTTTTTTTCTGTGTTAACAGCTACTTGTAAAGCTGAAAAAGCAAAAAGCAACAGTAATACATATTATGCAAAGAGTCTTTTTCCAAGCAACAATAAGATATTTTAGATATTTTCTCCCCTACAGATATTTAGCTGAGGCTGCGCCTATTATTAAAATGAGTTTCATAGGTTTTTTAAAAAATTATAGATCGGGATTAAAATTGATAATTTGAGTAATTTTGTAGATGTTTGGATGTCATATCTTTAAAATTGTGCTCTTACAACTTGAAAAAGAAATTCAAACTATATAATTAGAAAAATATAATCTGCCTATAAAGATATTTACTCTTGTTTGAAGTTTCTGTGTCTGCCTGCGTAGCTCTAGAATGATAGGGAATTTGAGTTTGGGTTGAAATGTGGCCCACTGCTGTTTGCATAGGACATTGGTCATGTCTTAATTCTCACTACCCACGGGAGGCTGGTGGATTTGCATATCATTGAATTCACCATCACTTTCTGTCACAGAAGCGATGTCTTGGTACAACGGCTCATCAGGCATTTTGTTGAAAACTTCCACTTCCATTGTTGCACGCTCTAGTTCATGTCCCTCCCCATCCTTTGCCAATAATTCTCAAATAATCTATAAATTTGAAATTGTTTTGATTGAAATATGAGGTACATTGTAATAGTATGTGTTCATTATATTAGAGTATTTGGGCGGGAGAAAATAATGGTTGAGGATGGGGCATTGATTGCCCCTCCCCCCATTATGTTAAAAACACTTGGGAAATGTATGTTTCGATTGACACTGCAAATACAAATGCACTGGCATCACCCGCACCTCACCTCCCTCTCTCCCCTGTTGAGATTTCTAAACAGAGTAAAGAACTGATTTTGAGACCAGTATTTTTTAACAACAATTCCTTACACATATAGATAGAAATGTTGTTCTCACCTCCAACCTTCTCCGTGTATGGTAGGCGCTGCCACTGTGAATACCTGGTGTGAGACAACACTTTGTTGGACTCAGCGGGCACATTCTGTGTGGAAGAAGAAGTAATCTAACCAAGAAAGGCCACCCCACTGCACCATCTCAAAACCAGAAAAACCAAAAGATGTCTCCAAAGAGGGAGATAATTGAAAAATTTTACCTCAATTTAGATGTGGAATTTCCTTCGTCTTGGCAACCTTCGATCCTTTCTGCGTAGCAATGTACGATATATTGACGAAATTGAACTGAATGTATGGGAGACTCTGCACATTACAAATCCAGTCACTGTTTATGTTCCAAGGGAAAAGTCGAATATATGTTATGAAGTTCGTAGGTTAAAAGCAGATGACCTATTTCAGTTTCAATTTTTCATTGATGCATTAAATTGTCAGAAACAAAATGCACAAATGAAATGCACCAATCGTGTACTGTCGCAACGTGAAACAAATGGCTGTTTTTTTAACTATATGTTAGGATCAAATCAATATTTAAATGGTTGGGCCATGTTAAATAATGCAGAAGTTTACAGAAGTCAATAAGAATTTTGTTCTTCAAGAATTCAAGAAACGGGATTCTGTTATATGCATAGTGTTTGCCAGAACAAGCTTGGAAATGGGCTTAGACTTTGAGGATGTAGAGATTGTTGTTAATTTTGGAGTTCTGCAAGGCATAGAATCGTTTGCACAACAATGTGACAGAGGTGGTCGGCTGTCTGCCCAGGCTTTTTCTTTGGTTCTGTACCATGGAGGATCAGGGCTTAATTCAACAACAAAAGAAATGAAAGAATTTTCTTTAAGTACAAAGAAATGTAGAAGATCAATCATTAATCACCATTTTAAGATTAAGTTAGACAAAGAGGATGTGTCATATAAGTCTGTCAATCCAATACCTACCAGCTGTCGATGTTGTGATGTCTGTGTGAGTGCAAGTGTAGGTGTGAATGCTTAGAATGCCTATTAGGCCCTTGGGCTAAGGAAAAGATCACAAAATCAGATGATATAGAAATTGATGATGTTTCTAAGAGCTTGAATAAGTGGTCGCCAGAAAAACCTAGTTTGCTAGAGAAGAGTCTCCAAGAATATTACATTGAAGTTTTTCAATTAGATAGTGGCTTTTCAGATATAATGGATTTTGGTCGATTATTACCGATCAAATTCTGCTGTCTTGTTCAGTTATAAACACCATTGATAATTTGCTAACAGAAAGCCATTTTCAAATTCTGTACAGACTTAGCTTTGACAGATCAGCAAAAAAATTGTTCAGACTTGGCTTTAGCAGATCTTTTTATGTTAATAGAGGAAATAAAAACTCAAACTAAGACAATTTGCGACCTTTCCTTGTTTAGATCCTGTTTGACAAGTGTTGTTGATGCTTAGAGTATTTGATGTTTCGTCAGCGTTGTTCACAATGTATAAATGGTTGTTGTAAGTTTCCTGAAATTTATACAAATTTCTTATGAAAAGGGTTTTGAAAAAAGGGTGTAGATGGTTCGATTGTAAATATTGTCTAGTAGTACAAAAATTTTGAAATATGTGTAATATAGGTACTTATTTCATTTTAGGTCAGTCTTGCGTTTATGCTTATATTTGTTCATGCTTCTCTTTGTTTAGGATATATTAGCGTGTCGCGCTTTAGTTTTTCATGTTTTCCGGTATAGTAATATTTTACATGCCCTTTTGCTCTACAAAGTTCCCCCGCGTATCCTAATATATCTAACACCTCCTACTAGTTCATTTACGTATTGCACGATAGATACCGACAATAACACCGGCAATTATTGATATTAGTTTGCATATTGTAATGCTGTTATATAAAGTAGAGTACGGAGAAACAGAGTTAGTTAGTTAGAGAAAAGCGTGGTGCTTGCGAAAGGCCACTGCTATCAAACATGTAGACACTAACTAACACACACACAAAGAACTGTCATGGATGGAAAGGCTAAGAGAGGGCTGATGGCATTCAACCCGAGTGGCTTGTGAAAGCACTCAAGGTTTCGTTTCATATATATATAATTTAATGGCGTAACAGTGCTTGTGAAAGGCTGTTTAGTACCTAAGTTTCGATATTGTGTAAAAGTACGTCTTAGCTTTGGATGGAACAAAAGGAATTGATTTTGTATGTCAAAACGTGTCATTTATTCGCTCGGTCAATCATTCAAACAACGAATGGTGTCAGAAGTTTTACAAATATATATACCAGCAGCAAATTTTACATATGCCTCTAGATTTTTCAGATATGATTCTATGAAATTTTTCTCACCTGGTGGCAAAAAATACCTAAATTTCAACATTATCTGAATTTGTGTCAGGATAGTGTCCCTCAGTCATCAACATATGGTGCAAGTCAATAGAAAATTGGTAAAACACCTGGCCTCAATATTCAGCCAGGGATGGATGGCTTCTGTCTTATACATACAAGTTTTATTGAAGAATTGCTTGACTTTGTTGTCTGCTCAAAATGTAAGGCTGGCAAGCTAGTAATGAAGAAGATACTTCAAAAAAGATAGGACTAGCATTCTTCATCACCTTCAAGTGTAGAACATGTGCCACTGGCTGCGAAATGCTCACCTCTCCACACTGTGAAGGTTCAAGAGCCTATGAGATCAACTACAGAATGCTACTTGGGCTCCTTGAAATTGGTGCAGGGAAATCTGCCTTAGAGAGTCTTTGCTAAGTTTTGAAAATGCCAAAAGCAATGTCTGATGATGCTTTCAGTCGTAGTGTAACTAAAATAAAAGTGCACTAGAACTGGAAGCATCATTTAGCATGAAAAAAGCAGCCAAGGAAGAACATGATGCAATTGGAATCCCAGAGGATCAAGTTGCAGAATGCAAGACCATGTTCGATGGAACATGGCGCAAACGAGGATACGCCTCCCTGCAAGGAGCAGTAGCAGTAATTTCTGCTGTCACTGGGAAGTGCCTGGATTATGAGGCCCTAAACAAGGTTTGTTTCAGCTGTTCAACATGGCAAAAAAAGTCAGATGGTCCTGAAAAAGGGCAATTGGAAGGCCAATCATCAATGCCAAATAAATTTTGTTGGCTCTGCTCCTGCAATGGAATCTGAGGGGGTGAGCCGTATATTTGGCTGCTCAGTAAAAACAAGGAAGCTCCAGTAAACTGGCTATATAGGGGATGGAGATTCGAAGTCATTTTCCTCTATAAAAGCCAGTAAGCCCTATGGTGAAAAAGACATTGTCAATATTGAATGTGGGCACGTTCAAAAGCTGATGGTAACTGCCCTCAGGAAGCTGAAATTGCAGAGAGGCAAAGCAAAATTAGCAGACTCCAAATCAATTGGAGGAGTTGCCAGACTTACAGCTGCAAGGATAGATAAGCTGCAGACATACAATGGGCTTGCCATACACCACCATAAAAACAATATTGAAGCCATGAAGAATGAGCTATGGGCAGGCTTATATCACTTGGTGCCAATACAAGAAGGTCATGTTACAGAAGAAACAATTCAACCACAAGAACCCGTTGCCTAGTGCCATTTTAGATGAGCTCAAACCTATCTAAAAGAAGCTGATGAAAGATGACATCATGAGTGGTTGCCTTGGTGGCTACACACAAAATAACTGTGAGGCAATAAACCACTTGATTTGGTCAAGATGTCCACAAATTTCACACTCAGGGAGAGATCATTTGGATGCTGCTGTAGCTGCTGCTGTAGTGGCATTCAATGATGGCCTTGCACGTGTTTTGTCTCATGTTGGAATCAACCCTGAGAGCCACATGCTTTTGGGACTCTCAGCAAGGGACCGTAAGCGGAAAAAGAGATATTCAACCTTATCTCGCCTAAAACAATAGAACAATAGGCAAATTTTTTTATCTTTGCCGCCTTTCCAGACCAGGGTGTTTTCAATTGAATGTGTTCAAAGAAGACTGATTTGAGGAAGTCTTACCAGAAGAACTCCATCAGCTTTATCTATTTGATCAGCATACATACATACATATATACATACATTACTTATTTTATATAGCAGGTCAGAAGTAGTCAGCAAAGCTGATGTAGACCTGCTTGAACTAAACCTAGGATAAAAATTTAAAAGTTATAATCAACCTTTTCTTTCCAGATTTTGACTTCTTTGTCAAAATTTCTGCTAATCTGGTGTGTTATTTTGAGGATAGCATGGTAAATTGTCGACAGTCCAAAGAATGCAAAACAGTTAAATACCTATAAAGAATGGGTAATATCAGTCATCCAATTTGAATACGTTCCAATTTTATAAGCTACCTTGTAATCAATCATTTGGCACTTAAGAGTACAAAACTTTGATATGCTATTTCCAATTCTTGATGACAAACAATACTTAACGCGGCTTTATATAGAAGTATGCATAACAATTTCTCTATGGTATTCAAACGTGTATTTCTATTGTTTATCTGGATTCCGTCCATATAAAAGTTTTATTCTTCTCTTCATTGACTTTGCGTTTTCCAGAAATTCCACACAGTGTATGGTATACAAGCTGCTGTTAGTTTTGATTCTTGCAATTTGTTAACGTCTTTGCATCTGAAATTAGGTTGTGCTTTGGGTTTTGTGAATTTTGGCATTTCTTCCAGAACTACTCCTTGAATGTGTGTAAGAAGGGATAACTTCACCTTTGGCTCCTTTATTAAATGTTTTAATGCTGCATTGTACCTCTTTCTCTTGAGTGAAACTATTGCAGCTTTAATGTTGTCATCTCTACCTCAAAAATTGTCGGAAAACTGTTCCTAGGGAACAAATTTACTTGTGTGGTAACCTTTCAACTTAATGTGTAGAATTATAGGCAAAATATCTGTTAAACCTCGTAGAAACGTTATGTAAGACCACAACAGAGAACCTCATTATGACTTTAATAGCTATTAAAATCTTTAGCTCTATTATGACATCAAATAGGGTCAGAATGCTGTTTCTTTTCAATCAACGAAGTACCATAGCAAAGACGACTCAATTAAACCTTATGCAAATTTAGCCTTGACTAAACCTCAGAATAGACCTTATCTCTGTGTTTTCAATGAATATCGAAAAACAGAAGATTAAAAAAAGAATCACTCCAAGAACACATCTTTCTTTTTAAAAAATATAAGGCTCAGAAATATTCAGTTGAGTTGTAATCTGGAAGTTAAATAATTAGTCACAATAACAAAAAGCATACCTTTGTTTCTTTTGATATCTTTTTGGCTATATGTCTAGGCGTCAACTCTTTCGGCATAGACAACTCAGAATATACGTTATCTTGCTGATCTGGAAACAACATTCAATTAATATCAAAAACGTTTGAATTAGATTCTGCTGAGATCCTTTGCTATCCCTGATTTAACTTTCAATAACTGAATAAGCTCTCAATCTGAGGCATGTCTTGCAAATAGAAAGTTCTTTTCCTTCATTTATTTTATCAATTTGGCTAAGAACATCCTGAAGTGGACATTAATATAACTTTGACAAAAGTTTTAAATTTTCATCGGTTTTTTTATTGCCAGACTCAAGAGTGACACAACAGTTCACGCAAAGTAGATCAGGCAAATGCATTTTTAATTATTGTACATCATGTCTTCTTTGAAAGTGTCACAGAAAAAGACAAGAAAAATAATAACTTACTGTTGCAAAGCTAACTATAGCAACCATACGACATAGCAATCCCTAGAGAAGAACATCAATTTGACCAAACATCAATTTGGGCAAAGTAGCTAGAATCGGATGGATGAGAAAGTTGTGCAAATCAGGGGGATGGATTTGAAAATTTTGTCCATAGATTTGATTGTCCAGTGGCCACAGTGTCTAAAATCATGCGCTCTTGGCTTCCTGAGTTGTCAGCAAAACTAAGGAAGTTAATAATTTGGCCAAACAAACCTGAAATTGGTCTCAATTAACCAAAATGCTTCAGATAGAAATATAGGGACTGTATCTGCATCATTGATTGCAGTGAGATATTTATTGAGAGGCCAACAAATTTGACAGCCAGGGCACAGACATGGTCAAATTACTTATAGTAATATTAAACTTAAATATCTCATTGGAATCAGTTCTGTAGGTTAAGCTATGTTTCTGTCCGAGGGCTGGGGCCGTAGAGTAATGGACAAAAAAATTACTGCTGATTCCGGTTTTCTCAGCAAAATCACTCATGGAGATTGCATTTTGGCTGATAGAGGATTTGTGATCTAGGCCGCAAAGGTGCATACCTCTAAGGTTCACAAAAGGGAACAAATAACTTCCAGCTAGCGATGCTCATCATTCTCGGCATCTTTCCAATCGAAGAAACAGTGAAGCTCTCAAAGATAATTCTACCGAAGTTCAATGGTGACATGACTCAATTTAACTCATTTTGGGAAGTTTTGAATGCGCAGTGCACAGTAATCCTGGTTTATCATACATCAACAAGCTAAATTACCTATTCAGTCTGTTAGAGGGACCAGCATATCGAGCAGTACAAGGTTTGTCCTTACAAGGAGAAAACTATGAACACACTATAAAAATTCTCAAATTGCGCTCCGAGAAGAAACATCAGATAATCAATGTGCACATGGAAAAACTACTAAAGCTCTAACACCATCCAAATGAAGGACTGGAAAATTTCAGATGGATTTATGGCAATGTCGCTGTTCACGTTCGCCGATTACAGTCACTAGGAATACCTTCAGGAAATTTGGGAACCTTTTGATTCCAATCATCATGTCTCACCTCCCACAGGAGATTACGATGCAAATCGCAAAAATAAGGGCAGAAGACTGTTGGAATATCACAGAAATTCTAGATATTGTGGAAAGAGAAATTGAAGCGAGGGAGATTGCAAATAACATAGCTCAATCAACTAGACGGCATGAAGAGTATGCTCCACAATCAAAGTTGCAATCCTCTTCTGTGCCAGGTGGAGTTTAATGCTACTATTGTCAAGGAGACTATTCCTACAAATGCGGCAATTTGACCAGTGTAAAAGAAAGGAAAAGTAGTCTCATGAGGGCAAGGAGATGTTTTTATTGCTTGAATTCAGGGCATTTGCTAAAAGACTGACTTTATACCTCCCCAGCTAAAAGACCTCCCCAGAACCTTTACTTAAAACTTTGATTGACTTTATAAATGCCAAACCACTTGTTAGCTCGTTAACGTGTGATGATTGTGCAGCTCAATGCATTACACTAATCAAAAATTTTATCAAATTTTGTTAATAGTTGTGCTATCCCCAAAGCTTCTCTACAAAGGGCTTGAAGACTTACATATGTATTTAAGGCGGTAGCTACAGTGTGGCTTATTACTTGTGTTGCCAATTTGACTCTCATTTTAGAAAATCCATTTGGATTCAAATGCCTTTCTTTCAACTTTGGAGCCATTGTAAAGGAAGCTTCTGATTTTTCTCAAGAAATAATTTTACATGTCCCCATTGAGCTACTTTGTCTTCAAATTTATATTTAATCAAATTATTCCTTATTGACTTGATAAGATGGGGTGGATCAAGAATTGTTAGATATCTCTTATTATTTATTTCTATATATGGTTTGTCTTCAGATACATCCATGGCAATCAAGAAGCAGAAAATGTTTTATCCTTGATCAGAAACTATGGAAACAACATTTAAATCCATTGCCTCTAAATGACCTATTGCTTCAGCAAGGATGGCTTTCAAATTTACAGAATTGCAAGATTCATTTACTAAATAGAATGCAACTGGCTGTTTCCATTTCTGCAAAATTCCTCTTACCATCAAAATAAATGCTGAATTAGCAATGGCACCTCTTGTCTTCCCATTGCCCAAATCTTCCAAGCCTATAATGGAGTAACTCTCGCAACCATAGAATAGATTTGACTTGAGTGAAACCTTGTCCATTGAAAGAGTACAAACCTTCACTTCTTGTGATAATCTTTGCACTCTTTGCCTTAGCACATACAAAGACTTGTTGGAAAAACCCAACCCTGAAGCATAATTTGAACAAGATTAGTAAAAGTCTTCTTTGATGGCAAATTTAGCAATTGGCAAGAAACCTATAGGCTTTCCCATTGATGTGATATAGACTTATAGCAAAGGACTTGAGAAAGTTGTCAAACCTTCTACCTTTCCATTTAACATAAGACAGTTCTACCTGTTCTTTCAGGAAACTCAAAAGATCTGATAAACTAGTACCCTCCAAAAGTTCAAAAGCCTTTTTCTGCTTCTGTTTTTTAATTTGCTTTTTAGGCAATCTTGTTAAGCTATGCCTCATAGTCTGCAATTTACTTTGCAGCTTATTTATTTTTTCCCTCTTTGTTTTTAGTGAGGAACGAGGCTTTTTTGCGAGGTTATCTCTAGATAGGGAAGCACCAGTTTGAATTGGCTGGGATAGCAAAGTTGACACTTGTTCATTTGCTGCCACGTCCATATATTCATGGCTGAATATATCTAAAAGGTTGAAGATAAGTTAAATTATTATCTTGGAAATAATAAATTTCATCAAAATACTTCAAAACGCATATAAAAGCCAATTAATACCAATTTTTTTCAACATTCTCACATTACTATTCAGTAATACTCGATGTAATGTCCATGCGGCAAACTTTAACCTTGCAATTCTTTTGTTGAAGAGGTTTAGCAACTCGCTAAAAGTAGAATGTCTTTATGTGTAATGTTTTTAATAGGTAGAGATAAAACACAAAAAAAGATATCTTTTGCGATTGTTAGTTCCTGTTTTGAGAAAAATTGACATCCAATTCTAAAATAGAATTGTCTATGGATTCGTCCTGCAAGCTATTGTTCATTGTTGCATCTTGCAATATTGAGGCAATACCTGCCTCTATGATATGGAGCCTCTGGACCAGCATCTCGTTCGTTCGGTCCACGAACCTTTTCAACGATTCTAACCTCTCCATTAATGAAGGATCCATATTGTTCTAGATGAGAGAACAAATGAACAGAACAAGTCAAGCTTCAGTAAAATAAGTCAAATCAATCTCCTGTTTATAAGAAATTAGCAATAAGATTTGCAATAAGAAATGAGTTCTTCACTGGACATTCAGGAAAACTTACATTTTATATCAATGCTATCAGCTGGTTGGCATAAAACTAAAGATGCAAAGAAAAATTTTTGAAAATTGGAAGCAACTTCAACGAAAGTCCACGATCTTTTGCAGAATGAACAAACGAAAAATTTCAAAATAATTTGCCACAGCATCATGAAACTGGTGTACAAAGTGTCAACCCTGTTTTATTATAAAAGGGTGCATTATAATTGAAAAGTTTATGAGCTATTGTTTGCAAGATAATGATTGTATAAATTTACCTTTATGTTAAATGAAGATGCATTTCTAAACCTTGATGTCATCACTGAGAAGGAAATACATGTTCCCCTAGGCAACATAACTCTTGTACATATTTCAAGGATAATATATCAAAATTGAGTATCGACATAGAGATTAACAGGTATAAATATAAATGTAATAGAAAATGCTAACAACTAGGATATATAAAAAGATCGGAGTGGAATATTAACATCAATTATTTGCAATGAAGTTCTTAATTATTTACAGATAGAGCTAAATATAGGTAGAGTAGTTTATTCATTCAGTGATTTGTTAACGGTAGTTCAATTTCCATTTATGTTGGCCAATGATAAATGTGGTTCAAGAAGAGATGTATTAGTTGAACATTTTATAGATCACTTGCTGTTTTTCTGAACAAAAATATATAACTAATAGGCTGATATGGTGCACCTTGATAAACAAAGCATTTCAAGCTAAAATTTGAGCTCATTTTGGGCACCATAGTGCTGCATGAGAACTGACAGTATCAACATGCAAGGTCCATGAGCTCACTGAACACCATAAGGTGCAAGATACAGTGTATCCCCTTATAACAATGTGTTTGAGCTGTTGAGGCACCGAAATGCAAACAAGACAAAAAAGTAGGACTGAATGTGTACATGTAGGACCTTTGAGCTCACCAGGTGCACCACTGGATAAATGGTGTGCAGCCTCAAAGAATCTAGGTATTTAAAAATGCTCCAGTTGTTATCTGGATATGACATTCTATTAAGAACCAGGTTGGATGTTGTATTCTCATATTCATTAATTTTGAATGTCACCATAATTTTATGACAAATAGCTAGTTCCCATCTATACATAAAATATAAACAATAATCTGATGACATCTGTTTAGGCCAGAACTTCACGGTAAACAATGTTACTGGTTAAGCGACCATTTGTTGTGAAAACTTTAAGCCCTGCAAATGATTGTGCTCTTGACATAGCGACATATAATTGGCCATGACTAAACACAGGTTCAGGAAGGAAAACACCAACATACCTAAGTGACTGTCCCTGTGCTTTATTTATTGTCAGACAGTATGCCAATCCGACTGGAAACTGCACTCTTGTAATGTTAATTGGAAGAGGAGAATCTTGTGATGACAAAGAAATTCTAGGGATCATAACATACTGACCTCTGTATCCAGGGGAAATGATTTCTGCACAAATGAGATGTTGTTGTAAATCACGCACTATGAGGCGGGTGCCATTGCAGAGTTCTTTTTTGGATTTAGATTTCTCAATAAGATGACAGTGGCACCAATCTAAGGAAATGATATGCTCACTTCTGACTGTGTTCATTTTATACGATTTTATATGCACATGTAACAAGATTAGAAAGTTGTGAATTAAGATTAAGGAGTTAATATGAAAATGTTTTAAAGAATTAAGATATCTAGGGAAAAGATTGCCTACCAATTACAAAAACATTATTTTGTGTTGATTAATGAAACAAAAAAAGAAGTGGGGTTTCAAATAAAAAAAATTCAAATTACCTTCAGTTCCAATTTGTGAAGTGGCATGCCACCTGGTGTCTGAGCATTCAAGAATTCTACTGGGTATGCTGCAGCTTCCTCTGGATCATCAGTAACAACTCGGTCTGTACTCAGATAAATTCGTGTTGGTGTTGGCAGCCTTTGAAGGACCAGCTCATTAATTTGATGTGAGAGGTCGTTCTTCGGTGTCAAACAGCAACGCTCAGACATTGTTCCTGGGTCCGCCATAAGGTTAGGTTGGTCTGGCTGTAGTGGTGGGTACACAAAATCTATCAAGTCATTAAGTGAAGGGGCAATAATTTGCTGTGGTAGAGCTACTTGCTCAAGGGCATCATGCGGCTCTTGCCCATTGCCAAGCCGCAAAAGCCAATCAGCAAACTCCCTGTATGTTTCATCTTGAACTGCACGCATGTTGATCATCAGTTGAAACTGATGGAAGTGGTGCCATAATAAGGACGTCTTCAAGCTCTCCTGCACAATTCTCTCTCGACCTGCTCTGAGAACAACTTGGAGAACTTGTCTGAAATCACCACCAAGAAACATAAATTTCCCACCAAATGGCCTGTTTACTTGTGTAATATCTCTAAGGAGAATGTCTACTACTTTCAAAGAGTTAGCTGGTATCATTGATGCTTCATTCCAAATAAAACCACTAGTTTCTAAAAGCTTCTGAGCCCTTGCACTTTGACGTTTAATGTTGCATGTGGAATCAGGTAATAAGGGAATAGGAATTTGAAATGTAGAATGTGCTGTGGCTCCATTGATGAGCAAAGTGCTAGCTATTCCTGAGTAAGCTACACATTTAACTTGCAAGCCTAATCCTTGAAGATTGTGAACTAAAGTATTGTAAAGAAATGTCTTACCTGTTCCAGCTGGTCCATCTACAAAGTAGCAGTTTTGTTCAGATCCTGTTTGTATAGCTTCCATAATTGTGTTGTGAATATGAAGCTGGTCATTGTTGAGGAGTTGTAACATTTGCTCTCCTTGTTCTCTCTCAGTGTCAATATCAATATAGCCAGCTCTGTTGCCTGGTTGGACGAAGTTGTCTGGAAGCTGTGGGAGGTCTGAAAATTCAACATCTTTGATTAATTTACCATGAACCCTCAGGTTATTATCAATATCCCACAGACAAAGATACATGTGCCTGTCTTGGAATACAATGGCTGGATCATTAAGATGATAATGTCTCACATAGTCTTCAGACATAGCTTCCTTGAATTCATTAAAGAGGTCCCTGATGTCACATGGAGTTTGAAATACCATCAGTGTAGCAAACAGCTGTCTCATCTGTGAAGGCATATTCATGATTGTGGCCTCTTCTAAGCAACGTCTGTGTTCAGCATCATCTTCTAGTAGACCCATTGCTCTTGCTGCATCCTTGAATGTGTCATACAGCTGTCCATCAATGGTTCTTATGTCTTCAAAGGATGTGAACCCTCTGCGGTGAAGCAATAGTAGTCGAAGGGCATACCTTTGTGGATCTGTAGGTTGAACTTGATAAAGCCTCCCAATAATGGACCTTGCAGCACGTTGTCTTTTTTTCCATTTCTTTGTCCTCAGATGAAAAGTGTAATGTTCTGGAACTTCAGTATAAAGATACTGTTGAGCATCTTCGTCATCTTGATTATTTTGAAACCATGCAGTTAATGTTGTGTTTGGGTTCACATTAAGAACCCTTTCCTCGTTTCCTTCTTGGAAATAAACATTATGTTGTAGAGGAAGATGCACTGCAAGCCGTATGATGATGTGACTTTTGTCATGCATTTTGTACTGCATGACCCTGAACACTGTCTGGTGTGGTCCAACATATCTTGCATTAAGATACTGGAGAATCTCATCATGGTGCAAAATGTTTTCTCTAATTTCAACATGTGCACAATCATTACCTTTGTGAATGTATTTAAAGATGTACTTGACACTTTTGACTGTGCTGCAAACTTCTACATTCATGTGGCAATTAAATTTCATGAGAAGGTGAGGATTGTAAGGAACCACCCAGGAGTCATTTACCAAATGACGACGTAGCTGTGCACGATACTGCCCTCGTCGTCGGTACTCAGGGTACCCACGAACCTCAAACATTGTTTCCTGTGCTAATGCTTTTGGAAAGTTCTTCTTGCATTCCCCATTTTGCATGCAAACACAGTGTGGATCCAGTTCACCACAAGGTCCATGGATCATGTGTTTCTTAACCACTTCATGGAAATCTGGGAATTGTTCTGGATCTGGAATCTCTGCAGATACTAACCTATCAACATCTTCTGCTGCATGTGGTTTATCAGCATCTGAGAGAAAGAGAACCATGTGTACATGTGGCAAGCCTCTTTTCTGAAACTCAATTGTATAAACATATGCAACCACGTTTCCCAAAACATTCCTTCGAAGAAGATCACATAAAAGTTCCTTGAGTTTCAGGTGAAAGACACAACTGATAACATCTGGCCTGTCATTGCCTGTTTGGTGTGGAAGGAGATTTTCTCTCACCTCAGGCCAGTTTGGATTTGCAGTCATGGTTAGGAAGATGTCAGGTTTACCATATTTTGTTACAATAGCCATTGCACCTTGGTAGTTTTGATACATATTTCGCTGACCTCCTTGGAAACTTGAAGGAAGAATGACGATTCGGCCAACATTTCCATTTTCAGCTTGAGCTCACCTGTGTACATGATCCATGAGACCTTGATATGATTCTACCCTCATTTGTCTTTGATGGGTTCTGATGTAGTTCAGTTCATTTCCTTCAATTTTTGTGTATGCATCAACCAGATATTGCTGAAAAAGCAACTTGGAGTGGTGAATGGCTGAAAAACTATCTCGAACAGCAATCCTGTAAGCATAGAATTCATTGAGAGTGATTCGTACCCTTGGATTACGACCAGGAGCTGCTGGTTGCTGCTGATTACGTCGAAGATCAACATTCCACCCTAATTCTCCATGAAAGAACAAAAGAGGATGTGTCAGGGGATCTGCATTTGGAGATGTTGCTTTGATTTTTGTTGTATTGTAGTTGGCAGCATTGTATACTACTATATCCCTGTTAGCTGGGTCAGAGGCTGCTCCATCATCTCCAACATAAACTGCAGCTATTTCTGTTGCTGTAGGATTATGATAACGTCGATCTTGAAACGGTCGCTGTGCTATGATCATCCTCACTGGGGGTAATGGTTGATTGTTTGCAGTTGCATTGTTGCGTTCTCTTTCAAGAACTCGTCCCATATTTTGAAACTGCCTTGCAAATGGATTAACAGCCTTGAGCTCATCCTGTAGCAGCTGCAAGACCTCAGGTTGCAGGTTTGCATTTCTTGGATCATTAATTCTTTCCTGCAATGCTTGATTTGTATCCAGTATGTATAATTGAGAATACTGTGGACGTTCACCATCAGCTGCATCTGTTGCACATGTCAAGTGGTAGGTTTGCCCATGAATGGTGACAACACGGGGTCCTCTACCAGGAAGTTGGTTGACAGTGGCATTCCAGGAAGCCATTGCCATAGCTGCATTGTATTGACGAATGTTTTCTAAAAAATGCCGTGACTATGGTGTTTCTGCACTGAACAAGTCAACAATGTTTGCTGAAGGTAGTGCAATTGGTGGCAGAGTGACTTTACCTTGAAAGCAACACTTGGTGAATACATTATGTGAATTCTGCTCACCAATGAAAAATTTGCCACGACAATGATGACATGAATTTTCCATCATACCAAGGTAATGTGGTTGTGGCAGGTTGAACAAGAGCTGTGGCTGCAAATCTGGATTCTGGTGTACAACTGGTTGCTGTTGATCATGTTGTGGCTGCTGCACAATTTCAGCTTGCTCATTACCCTGTTGTGGTGGCACCTCATTTTGTGCAATTTGAAGCTGCAGTGCAGCTAATTCATTTACAGCAGCTGCAGGTAGGTTGCTGTTCATCTGGAACTTCATCAGCAGCTGGATTTGGAGGTGCATTGGGGTCACTGCACAAACTGCACAAAAAGCAGCAAGAAACAAAGCAGGATCCTTTGAAATTACGTAGCAAACAACTTACCAAACTTCATCCATTACGATAAAACTATAATTCCTTTTTCGCAGATCACTTTTCGCTCCTCATCCACGCTAGCGAAAAATGCTCATTTGAAAACTGCACAAAAAGCAGCAAGAAACAAAGCAGGATCCTTTGAAATTAATTTCTGATTTTTGAAGAAACACCGATGCATCGAACGCGAGTTCTATCCGTTTCACTATTGGCTAATCTCGTCACGTGCCCTTTGTTCCATTGTGAAATCCGGGGAATCTTCAGACCGTAAGAATAGAGAGAGAAAGAACCTTTAGAAACACGGAACAAAGACCACGGAGAGCACTAATGGTGATCGAGACGATGCCTCAGAAAACGCCAAATATCTCGAGAAACAAGGCAGGAAAAAAAACATTATACCTTTATGATAGCAAATCAATTATCTAGCTTCGATTTGAGACCTTGCCGGGGAAGATCCGCTCTGCCCTTCAGGGGGAAAAAGGGGTTGAACCGCCGTGCGGTGTGGATCTTTTGTTCGGGGCTCATTTGCATATCCGCATATTAATATTAGTAGAAATGCAAGCCAAAGTAGTCCTCGCTTTTAAGCCCATGTGCTAGGGGCCTATTTAGCTATAGGCCTATCCTCGTTAGTATGGCACAATTTATCTTGGTTTACAAAGGTCAAAAATGTAAAAATTAGGTACTGACTGTGTCCCTGATATCCTGAAGAATTGTTTTCACTCTATTATTTTTGTTGGTCGCCATTTTGCGCTTTCTCCCATGTTCACTCCTGAATGCTACTAGTTCTGCTAGTTCTGTTGTTGTTTTCCTAAATATCACCGCAGCGATTGTGGCGATATTCTAAAACTACTGAACTATAATATTATCACGAAAAACCGTTACAAGATTATCACAAATTAACCAATCAAAATGCGAGATCTTGCAAAAATGGGCGTAGTGCGTTTACTCCTTTACAATTGTGACAATAGATGTGCGTTAAAAGGTTAAAACGTAAAAATATTAATTAGTCTAGTGCGAATACATCTCTTAGCAACTTAAAGAATAATAAACCAAAACATGACATCAAAATAATGTGCGCCTGCCAAGTTCCCAGACAGTTGTTCCAACTGCTCTCAAAAGGTCTTCCTGTTGAGATCAGTGGGTTGTTCTGCGGTCATTCTCTGGTCGTTCCACTAATTCTCTACTAATTCCGTGGTTGTGCTGCTAGTTACACGGTCAGTTCCTCATACATTTGGCTAGTTCCTCGTTTCAGCAGTGACGGTTTGTAATACTGAAAAAATCGTTTATCATCAGGTATGAACGTACCTGATGAATGAACGAGTTTTTGAAATGCTTATATTTTATACCAGCGTAAATAGTCCATACACATGTTAAGGGTCATGTTAAGGGATCCACGATTAGCTTTTATTTCATTAAGCATACTTTTTATGGCACGGATTGGGTCCTCTGTTATTTTAATGTTTTTGGCATCCTTTTTCTTTTTCATAATATTTTCCTTTGAATTGTGACAGAAACTTGACCAAAATTGCATGCTGGTACTTTCCAAAGGGTCATCCTACGCTGTGGCTGATATCAATTCCAGAAGCTGTAATCTCCACATTTAGTTCCTTTTTTAAATGAGAGATGACAACTTCTTCGACATATTCCATGACAGATTCGACAACATTGTGAATCCTCGCCAAGCTTTTCCTTGAATATTGTTCCAGGCAATCAAGATCAAAGCAGCATCCTTCACACGGGAATTTATTTCATTTATATGAGAGTTTAAACAATCAAGGTCTATCTCAAAATTGACTTGCCTTGATTCCAGTTCTCCAAGAGAATTTTTAAGTTTTCTTATTTTCGTTTCATCAGATCAAGAGGAGAAATTATGGCCTTTTGATTTTGATTTTGTAGAATTGATTCTTGGCTCACCTTTAGGCATTGTAGAACTCCATGAAAGGCAGAAAGCTCAGATGCAAAATTGGATGATGAAGACCCTTTCTTTCCCACTTTTGAGGTATCGATTGATACAGGCATAGGAATCAAAGCATCGGTTGACTTGGACGAACTGCTGCTTTTTGTTGTGGGACCAGTATTGTGTTCAACATTCACCAGATAAAATCAAGCACTAAACCAAGAAAGAAGCGGAAGAAGGCACAGATTTGCACTGATACTTCGCCAAAATCTTGCGGCGCAATTTGGACGCTTTAAATTTGACCCATTGCTTTTCCCCTTCACACAGTGAATTGACGACAGCATAAGAACAACAAGCATTCTTATCAATACCCAGGAACCAATATGTGACAGAAAAACGACATAGAAAAGGTATGCAAGCCAAAAACATCAAGAGTTCCTTTAAACACGACCATCTTGTGTGTTTGGCAGAAATAACAGGTGAATTAATTCGTAGAGACACGCTCATTAGCTCAAGTTACATTTATCAAAATTTATCATTTATCAAGTATATTAGCTCAAGTTACATTTATCAAAATATCATTGTCATGTTTTTTTTATTAATCTTTTTGTAGTTACTGATTAGAACTCATTTGTATAATCGTATATACATCATAAATACATATACATGTTTTTCTCTGTGCTACACACCTATGTTCGGCCCAATTCACAACAATATTAGTCTTTAATAAGTTAAATGATATTTAGAAACAGAAACCAAATTATAACACAAAGAATAAAAAGAGAGGCATCATAAAATACATCATATTTTGAGTACGACTAACTACAGATCTAAAAAAAATTTCTTTCATATTTAAATTTCAGTTAGAAAAGTAAAATGCATAGCAAAAAACAAGGTTACATTTAAGGCTAACAAGGCTAAAAAGTGAAATTATCCCAAGCTTGACTTCAAGCATTCTATATTTTATGTGCAATAGTTTGTAACAAAACAATCATGTTTTGAATGATTCAATATGGTATGGTTTGCTCTACACATCATTCAAGTTGGCGAGTTTCCCTCTCCAGTTTCCTGAGTATGACCAATAAGATAATAAACAGTAGCAAGAGGTCGAAACCAGATTATGATCAAATATAATTTGAAAGATTAACTAGGAACACGGCAATTGGAAATTTTTTTCTTTAATATGATAATCGAGACAAAATTTCAATATCAAGATTTAATAACTAAAGACATAAAGCACAGAGAAACAAGGTGTTTAGGTTTTTTTATGACAGTCACTACAAAACTAGTCCCTTTTTGTTTTCTGTGTAATATCTATACAAGGATAGTGGAATTTTTTTATATTACAGAAAATGTTGCCACAGCTGATCATGTTTCCAAAGTCTGGTTCCTTACAAGTGCATTACATTCTTCTATCATTTCCAGTACTTTCCATTTTCCTTGTCAAAATTTCAGGCAGAAAGAACTGGCAGTTGAAAATAGCACTTGTTTCAATTTTTCTACAAAACCTTCTTTCTGTTTTACTATACTCTTCATCCCCTCCTTTTTCTTGCTACAAAAAAACATAGAGGTAGCCATAACTGATTTTAGCCAATTCCATCTAAAGCTGTATTTGGTAACAGTACTTATGACCAATTTTAATATTTAGTTTATCAACCAACTGAAAATGGACATTTTATTTCCAAAGTTCCTTGACCGTGACAAGAACAAGATATTAATTAATCAGGGGATGCACCTAAAAATGGAACAGTAGCATCAACAATCAATCCACATTGCTTAACATGAAAGTCTGAATGCATGAGACCCAATACTTATTGGCCCTCCTTCACAACGAGTAGTAAAGTCCCCAAGCAAGCTAAAGAAAAATGCTTTTCCTTTTGTATTGTTCTCAGAAAGTTTTATCAAGAGTTTTCATAAGTTATGGCATTTTAATTTTGGAAGACAAAGATTTTACACTTTATTAGATTACTGAAGCATGTTTACAAGAACACCTGAAAGAGTAACATTTGATAAATACTTAATGAAGAGCTTACAAAATAGTGTTCAAGTCCTTCTTTTGCAAATGGTAGACTCTGGCAGTGGTTGTAATTGGTACATCTACAAGACGAAAGGTACATCTACAAGATTCACCCTCCAAAGAATACTGCCCTTCAAAACCAAGACCGATACTTGTGCACTTATACAAAACTGCTCTCCCCTCAGTTGGTTTAAAGTAATGGAAGCTACGAGTGCCAGGAATAGTTTTCATTAGCTTGTATTGACTCTTTAAACTATCAGGCAAGGTTGGCATATCTTTCGATAAGATATCAATAAATTTTACTGCTTTTGTGCACAAAATTTGAAAAAGACTCAAAAGTAATTATTTGGTCATTGAAGGCTTGCATGAGCCACAACACTTTTCACAGTGCCCCCAACAACAACACAAAGAGATTTGCCACGACAAAATGACCAGTCTGCATCCAGACCAAAATCCTCTTTGTGGAAAATGAGATCAGCAAAATTTTTATAGTTTTTATATTGGTAAGCACAGCAAATCTGGAAAGTAACATAATACTTTACTTGAAGTAAATTTTCCCTTAAGTA